AACAAAATACAGATATTTATTTTCTCACAGTTCTAGAAGCTGGAAGTCTAAGATCAGGGTGCCAGCATGGTTGGGTAATTGGTGAGGGCCCTCTTCCTGGCTGGCAAACCATCTTATTGTATCTTTGCTTGGCTGAGAGAGAGTTCTGGTGTCTCCTTCTAATAAGGGCTCTAATTCCATCTTGGAGCTCCACTCTCATGACCTCATCTAAACCTAATTACCTCCCAAAGGATCCATCTCTTAATACCATCATACTGGGGTTAGGGCTCCAACATAGAAATTTGGAGGGAGACCTAAACATTCAGTCTATAATAGGCACCACAGTAAAAACAGAGCAGTTTCGGAAGCCCTTATAGCACACGTCCACAGATCATGTAGTGAGGAGAGTCAGCTGAACAAGCATGTGAACTCATGATCTGTCACTCAGTTGAGGTTCCTGAAAGTTCAATACCTGGGAGATATTAATTCTGTGAGCATCATATTCTAAAATCTCCAATGGATTATATTTTCTAGGTGCAAGTCATCTATTCTCATATCATTTCTAATCACAGCACAGGAGAATTTTACACACGCCAGTCGTTCTGCTTCTCAAACTTTAGCATGCATCACAATCAACTGAGGACTTGTTCAAACAGATTTACTGGCCCCCTACTGATACACTAGGTCTGGAGTGAGGCCTGAGAATTTACGTTTCTAGCAAGTTCCCAGGTGATGCGGACGCTGCTAGGCTGGACATCACACTTTGAGATCCACTGATATACATCATCCACCACTGTCCTACATGTTGTATCGAAAACACACATTAAAAAAAAGTAAAAACAAGAACAAAATTTAAAAAACAACACACAGCTATTGCTGGCATACTCCACAGAGTCTTAAAGCCAGATGCTAATAGAAACACTAAACACCATGATATTTTAGCTTATTCAAAATGCAAGGATGCATTTCTGTTCTGTGACTTGCTAAGTTGTAAACAAATACATCATTTGTTTAACAAATATTAACAAGTGATTTTATTCTCGACCAGGCACTAGGAGCTAGCAGTGACAAAGCAGACAAAAATGTCAGTCCCTATAGAGCTTAAATTTGAGCAGGAAGAGCTGTCATTTGTTGAGCTTCTGTTATGTCCTAAGCCCTTTTCATTAATTATCTCTAACTCCCACAAAGACAATAAAATATAGGTGTCGTTATTCCCATTTTCAAGATGAGAAAGTTGACCCTCATATCGTTAAGTAACTCACAAAATCAAATGGCTCTGTCTCCAAAACCCATGTACTTTCCATGACACCACAATGAAATATAGTGGCTAACACTACTACACAGGGATTTTTAGCTGAAATACCCTATATTTTGCCAGCAAAGGATTTCTTTTTCATTGCTATGGCCTGGAAAGATCTTTGAAGGATTGGGGACCTTGAAGTGTAAGATCTCAAGGGCTGGATGAGAATATTATAGACTGCAAGGAAGGGATAGATTTCCTAACTCTTGACTACAACACACTGGATCATCCGGCCAGGTAAGTTAACGGCAGGGCCACAGTGAAGTTTTTGTGGGTTCGGAAGTTTACCTTGAACAGCAACTGTACATAAAAACTAGCAGGTGCCTAGTTAAAATTGGAGATCATTTCTTCCTTCAATCATTTATTCAGTAAATGTTTCTTGAAACTTCTGTGAGTCAGGCACTATGCTAGGAAGTGTGGGGAATTCGAGGTAAGACTTTGTTTCTGTTCTCAAGCAGGTTACAATGTAAGTATAGTAAGTCCCCTACATACGAACAAGTTCTGTTTTGAGAGCAGGTTCATAAGTCCAATTTGTTCATAAGTCCAACAAAGTTAGCCTAGGTACAGTTGGCTATAGAGTACTGTACTGTAATAGGTTTATAATGCTTTTCACACAAATAATACATCACAAACAAACACAAAAAATGAAACATTTTTCATCTTATAGTACAGTACCTTGAAAAGTATGGTAGTACAGTACAACAGCTGGCATACAGGGGCTGGCATCGAGGGAACAGGCAAGAAGAGTTACTGACTGGAGGAGGGAGAGGAGGTAGGAGATGGTAGAGCCGAAGGATCGTCAGCAACAGGACACAGAGGGCAAGCTGCACGTGACAATGTACGTCAGACACGTGAACTAACTTACGTGATGGGAAAGTTTGCAGCCTGAAGGTTCGTATGTAGGGGACTTACTGTATGGTGACTTCCTCCTGGCCCTCCTCCAGCTACTGCATTTGGGGTTCTCTTTGGGACAGTAACTTTTGTCTTATGTTTTATACTTTGAACTTTTTATCTTTATTCGTAATCCCAATTCATACATCAGTTTGTGCTGTTTGGTTTTGTTTGTTTTAGTGGAGCTATTTATATAGAGGAGTTGGGTATTTGGTGAGACAATATAGTGAATTATTTTTTTAAAGAGAAATGACAGTGATTATCCAAGATCTTGGGGAAATATTAAAAAGAGGACAGGAGGTGGGTCCTGAAGCGATGGGAGAAAAGAAAAATTCTTGGAAGTTAAAGAATCTATGATCCTTAAAAAAAGATAGGAACTTACCCTCAAGTAGAGAGAGAGGAGAAGAGAGTCTTAAAAGAGGAAAAAGATGGGCTTCCTTGGTGACGCAGTGGTTGAGAGTCTGCCTGCCAATGCAGAGAACACGGGTTCGTGCCCCAGTCTGGGAAGATCCCACATGCTGTGGAGTGGCTGGGCCCCGTGCTCCGCAACGGGAGAGGCCACAACAGTGAGAGGCCCGGGTACCGCAAAAAAAAAAAAAAAAAAGAGGAAAAAGAAATCTTTGTAGTGAAGTAAAAAGTGCAACTAGGTGGGCAAAAGAAAGACAAGAACACTCAGTAGAACTCTTCCTTTAAAGGGTTATCCCACCCTTTGTCGAAGTGCATACTTGGACTTCATTGAGTGGGGCTGCCCATGTGCATTGTCAACTTCAGGGTATAGTATACCTCAGTTTTTTCAAAGAAAACAAGGATTAAAGTTTGTCAGCTCACAGGTTTGGATGTCTTTAATAGGTGAATACAGTGTATGTCTTCTTAAGTTCAGAGGCTTGAAATCAGACCGAGGGTTCCACAGAGGACTCAGTTCTTCATTCAAAAGGCCCAGCTAGAGCTCTGTGTCACCACTTCACCTGGGGATGGGGGCTTGGGGGTGTGGGGGGAGAAGACAGCAAGTGACTGGTAACAATCGGGTCTTTCTTTTTACTCCTTAAGAATCCCTCAGCAAAGGTGCTGCAGTGAGCACACATTGTTTTATTTCCACATACGCTTGATCTAAGCACAGTGAGCAGCTGTCTCCGAATTTTCTAGTGTGTTTTCAAATCTCAAAGGTCTAAGCCGTCTTATGTGTTTCTTCATCCAGTTTAAGCATATTAAGATAGTTCCCGAATACAACAGTCTCATCCTAGGACACATTCCAGTGCCTAGCGTGGGGGTCTTAATTATAACCAGCTGTGCTATCTTCCCAAACTTCTACACACCCTAAGGTAGGGCTTCTCAATCATCTTGGTGCTTAGTTACCAGGGAAGCTTGTTCACATGCAGATTCCTGGGCCCTATCCAGGTAGTGATTCAGGAGGACGTTGGGGATAAGCCCAGGAATGTGCCCTTTAAAGGAGTCAACCAGGTAAATCTGATGCAGAAGATGGATTCACGGTCAACATATTGAGAAGATCTGTGCAGTTGTCTTAGGGTTTGAGAGAAAAGTGCAGGGGGACCTCTTTACTCGCTCAGCTCAATTTATAGAGCATATGCTATGTGTCCATCTGTGATAGGTAGAGGGGATACCGTGCTGGACCAAGGCTGTTCTTATGAAACTTAGGTAAGCAAATAATCACACAAATGAACGTAGAACGGCTTCAGCGACCAACGGCACAAAGAAGAGTTACACGGTGCCATGAAAACTCGTGGCTAAGATGTTTTCCCTAGTTTCAGACATCTGGGAAGTCTTCCCCTGAAAGCTCAGTAGGTGTTACCTAGCCAAAAGGGGAGAGATAAACCCTCCAGACACAGAGGGGACTAGCGTGTGTAAAAGCCTTGAGGCCAGAGGAAGCTTGGAAGGTGTGAGGAGCTGCCAGAAGTTACCCTGGGGACTCAATAACGTGTAGTCCCATGTTGGCCAACCCGAATCAAGACTTCAAAACTAACATGCCATCCTTTCAGAAGGCTGATGAAACTGAAGAATTATTGATTTGCTGGAAGTGGCTCTTAATTTGCAACCAGATGTGACCTGCTCTAAGACCCATCGTCAGTTAACGGGCTAAAACTGGCAGGGTGGCTGGCATGCTGGGTCTGGATAAATCACACACCCTGTGCCACCACAACTCATACTAAGATTAGGGAACAGCTATCTAAATCCCACAGCCCCCAGAGAGGCTGGAGGAGATTGAATCCACTGTTGCCATAGGAAGTAGAGAAAGGAGATGGGGGCAGAATATCAACAGATCCAGCCTTTGCCAATAGGGCAGAGTCAGAGATCACGCCCATAGCACAATCTATATGCAGCTGTTTTCTGCACACTCTTCTTGAGATCTTTTCCAGCCGTGCTCCCCTGCTTCTTCCAGAGCCACTTCCTCTGATCCCGGTGACCTGGACTTCTCTAATGGTTTGCTCTTACAATGGCTCGCCTTTCTTACCGCAAAAGAAAGAGATTTGATATTCTCATTGGACAACATAGATAATGGCAGCCATCCCAGGATTTGTATTTTGAAAAAGGTCTGGAAAATACTAACTCAAAAGAACAAATCAATATGTGTCAAATTCCTCTGTGTCATTGTGGTGGAGACAGGGATAGACCCTATAATTTTTAGCTGGGCCCGTGGTGCCCAAAATAAAGACTATATTTCTCATCTTTCCTTATAGCCAAGTATTGCCCTGAGGCCAAATTCTGACCAGTGAGATGGGAGCAGGCACGCCGTGTTAGCGCTGCTGGATGGATGTTTCCATAAAGGGAAGTTGGCACTTACATCTTTCCTCTTCTTCTTTGTCCCCTCTTCTAGCCTGGCTGGGAAGACTGCCGTCCTAGGCACCATTTTGGCCCATGAGAGCATGGGCCACATAGGAGGGATAGTAAAAAGGGAAGCTGGAAGAGGCCCAAATCCCTAAGGATGTAACAGAATACAGCCATGTCCCCATTCCTGGACCGCTTTCCTCTGGACTTGTAAGTGAGAGGGAAATAAATCCTATGTTGTTGAGGCCATGGTTATTTTGGGCTTCCGTTACTCACAGCCAAACCTAACTCCAACTGGTAAAACCATCATGGAAGATTTTTCTTTCTTTTCTTTTTTTCTTTTTTAATGGGGGATCACAGTGAAGTTGCTTCTTGGGGTCCCTCAAATGGAGGCAACGATATTCTCCATCTTCATGTGTGGCTGCTTCTTCAGGCCAACCCAAGCTGAATTATAAGATGGAAAATGAACATGGACTAGGGGCACGAGGCCTTGGTCTGAAGCCCGTCCAGCCACAAGCTCTCCTGCTATTTTCTCTCACTGGGCTTCTGCTTCCTCATCTGAAAAATAACCTCTAAGTTCCCTTACACATCGTAGAGTTTCTAAGACCAGGCATGCTAGGCCTCCCCCAAGCCTTGTGCCCACTCTGCCTGTCAAGGGAAATTGTTATCAGGATGAAGGGTTTTCATCTAACCAACAACAGGTTGTGTTTTTAAAGTCTATCATTACTTGTTTAGAACTTGCAACACAGTTTTCGACAGGTCTATAATGTACGTGAAGTTTAGGGTCTCGAGCAAACTCCAGAAAGAGATTTAATCAACTTTCCGTTCAGCTGTAGTGCGGGGAGAGTCAGGGAACCAAAACAATATGTAAAAGATTGGTGTGGGGGGAAAAGTGCTCAATTTCAAATTGGAGGAGGGACAGAAATGTCTTTTCCTTCACCCTTGGCAGAGAAGATGACACACACCCTCCCTCAGCCCCGTGTTCTGCTGGAGAGAATAATCACCTCAGAGTAACAGTGCTTCCCTTTCACATCCAGATTCCTATGAAATGAGAAAATGGGAGTCTCAACAAACGTAAGAACACCAAGGGGGGAAAGTGGCAGGGGGCGGTGGCGGTGGTGGTGGTGGGATGAATTGGGCGATTGGGATTGACATGTATACCCTGATGTGTATAAAATGGATGACTAATAAGAACCTGCTGTATAAAAAAATAGATAAAATTTAAATGATATAAAAATAAAAAATAAATTAAAAAGAAAATGGGAGTCTCAGTAGGTGTCAAATATGACACCTATGAGACTTCTGCCTGGTTTTCTTCAGTCTAATTCTGATTTCATTTGAAAACTTTGTCCTGCAGAGAAAAGAAAGGCCATTTTCTGGGAATGTCCAGATTCCCTTAAGTAGATATTATGCAGAAGCCCTGGGAGAGGTAAAGGGAGGAAGGGTGCTCTCTTTTAAGGAAATTATGCCTTATGGTAAAGTCTGACTTCTCCTGTTGGTCGCAGTGGCACAGAGCCTAGGCATCACCCAGTTCAACCAAGGGAGTTCAGCAATGAAGACGCAATGAGGACAGACCTGATTTCGTATGCCGGAGGAACGGAAGCAGGATCTTTTTCTTCCTACCCTGATGAACGTCAGAATGTTGGCAATGAAGTCACAGTTCTCCGATGGACTCTGATCTGCTCCGCTCTTTTTCTTCCTGTAGAAAGGGCAGTCCAGACCCTTTACCTCTAAGTCTCATGTTTTCTCTATTTAAAAAAATCTTTGTCCCAGGCATTCCTTCCATCTACCCTTCCTAAACATAGCCCACATTTCCATGTCTTTGCACAAGCTTCCCCCCACCGCCGCCTGCCATGCCCTTCCCCTCACTTCCCCTCACAGGCTAACTCTTTCTTGCACAGATGCCACCATCTGCAGGAAGCCTTCCCAGCTCTCAGGAGGTCCCTCTCTTGTGTTCTCTCCTAGCACCCTTGGCAAGTATCAGGCTGTCCCCACATGAGAGAATAGCTGCTTGACCATCTCGACTCTCTGGTGACCAGCAAAGTGACCCAGCACACGGTAAGGTTACCGATATTCAATGAATGAGTGAAGGAGTGTTCCTTCTTTTCTGCTTCTTCTCACAGGGTTGTTGGAATCCCGTTCAGGGCCCACCTCTTCCCAAAGGGGTATCTCTCATCTCTAAATTCCTGTTGTTCCTCTTGTTTGTGGTATCCATTATGGGACATGATCATTTACTACCCTGCATTGTTGTCTGCTCATTCCCGTGTATCTGGCCTCACTGACTCGATTGTCTGCTGCTAAAAGGTCCAGACATCTTCTCTGTCTTTTGTGACTCTCTCGGTTTCTAAGGCTATGCTATATACACAGTAGGCAATCGATGAATGGTTGATGAATAAGTACATGAATCCAAGACAGGCTTCTTTAAATTGTGACCCAATGAGACTTACATTATCTCGGAGAGCTTTTGACATGTACAAAAAATAAGAAGAAGCTTTACATGATTCCACCCATTTGGTGCCCTGAGGTGTGCTTGCACTTTCTATATGTACACATCTTCCTTCTGAAGAGGCAGTTAGGCCTAGTGGCTCAGAGCACAGGCTCTGGAAACAGGCTGCCTGGCTCTGAATGTGGGCTTCCCTCTTGCTAGCCTTAGGGATCTAATCTACATGAGAGACTTAGTTGCTTTGTTTGTAAAATGAAGATATAACAATAATAGGAGTGTATTAGTCAGGGCTCTTCAGAGAAGCAGAACCAATAGGATATATATATAGATATATCTATAAGAGGAGGTTTATTATAGGAAGTGTCTCACTCTGTTTTGGAGGCTGAAAAGTCCCATGATTTGCCATCTGCAAGCGGAGAACCAGGAAAGCCAGCGGTAAGTCAGTCTGAACTCAAAGGTTTAAGTCCCAGTCTGAGTCTGAAAAACCCTAGAACCTAGAGCACCAGTGTCTGAGGGCCGGAAAAGATAAATGTCCCATTCAAGCAAAGAGAAGGAGTTTGCCCTTCCTCTGCTTTTTTGTTCTACTCAGGCCCTCAACGTGCTGGACAATGCCCACCTGCTTTGGTGTGGGTGACCCTCTTTACATAGTCTACTGATTCCAATGCTAATCCCTTCCAGAGATACCCTCACAGACACATCCAGAATAATATTTTACCAGCCATCTGGGCATCCATTAGTCCAGTCAAGTTGACATGTAAAATTAACCATCATAGGACTTAACCTCATGAAGTTGTTAAAACAGGTACTATAGAGTAGAAAAGGTAATCCATATTGAATATTTGGCATAGTGTCTGACTTATCATGTTTGATAAACACAGTTATTATTAGCCAGTGTAGCTTCTCATATGATGACAGAAGCTTTAAAGGGAACAAGAGCTCTTGGGAAAGCCCGGGCTCAGTGATCCTGGTCATCATTCCACTCATTTATGTGTTACTGTGAGGAAAGACACAGCAATAACTTTTGGAACCAGGAAGTCAAGCACCTTGGCAGGTAGTGTCATGTCATGTGACTGGACAGAAGGCCATCTGGTACTCAAGATGCATTTCTAAAACTCCAGCAAAGGGGGCCTACCCTCAGTGATCGGTGGGTGCAATGCCATGTGGATGGTAGGTAGGAAAGACTAAATGTTATCATTCATTAAGGCAAAAATCAAGCTGTTAGCTAGCTACGATACAGATGCTGCAAACAGCCCATCTGCCTAAAGGATCTGCTTCTTGAGAGTATAAAATCCTTCTCACTACTCGGTGTAGAAATGAGTATAAATTAAATTGTAATCTAGTTTATACAATTTTTTTGCATTTTTTGCATTTTTTGCATCTGTCTCCCAGCTCCTTCTCAAAGTAAAATAAATGCAAAACAGTCTTTTTTCACTTCTCCCCTTTGGTTTGATTCCTACAAAGTAGCCACATTAAAATGCAATCTTTCTAGAATGGTGTGGAAAGTTACAGTACCTCAAAAAGAAAAAAGATCTGGCAAATTTTATAGGGTGTATAAGGTCCTTTGTTCTACACGTTTGTTTGCCTACCTGTCTGCCTGCCTATCTGGGCGTGTGCGTCTGTCTCATGCCAGCCAACAGCTATGCAGCCCTTTCAACCAGCAGGAGCCACATGGGGGGCGGGGGGCGGGGAGGAACTGAGGCCAAGATGGTCAATGCTGAGGTTTCCCAACAACCTCTGACCTGTGAAAACGGGATCTGTGCCAACCTGACTCCCCGACCTGGGTTAAGACTGAGAGCAAAGAAAGCTGTTGCCAGTTAGCAATGGGAACTGCAGCTTCAGGACCGTGAGAAACGTAGGACCATAAAAGCCTTAGCCAGCTGACCTGCCTGTGGGCCAAAACTGGGCACTGGGGGCCGCTGAGGAAGTCAGGTGGTGGTGAGAAAGCCTGCAGAATGCCGCTGAGTCACTTCGATGGGGACGCTAGAATAAAGACCTCCAGACTCCGGCCCAGCACCTGCCCAGAACAGTCCCTTCAAGGTCAGCCTTTGCAGCATTTTTCCCTGGAGCCCAGGGACAGGTGTCCCCCTGCCCTGACTGCTCCATGTGTAGCCATTTTCCTTGAGCTAGACTTCAAGGGGAGGGAGTGTCTCTGTTTTTTTGGCAAGAGCTTTTTCTAAAACATTTATCTGACTTCAGTGTTAAAAAGGCCTAGCTCATAGGGGCTTCCCTGGTGGCGCAGTGTTTGAGAGTCCGCCTGCCGATGCAGGGGACACGGGTTCGTACCCCGGTCCGGGAAGATGCCACATGCCGAGGAGCGGCTGGGCCCATGAGCCATGGCCACTGAGCCTGCGCGTCCAGAGCCTGTGCTCTGCAACAGGAGAGGCCACAACGGTGAGAGGCCCGCGTACTGCAAAAAAAAAAAAAAAAAGGCCTAGCTCAATAAAACCATGAAGGCATAGTGTTGGGAGGATAGTAATTGATTAAAAAAATGATAGTGTCCTGATCACGATCCAAAATGATCTCCACTGGACTCTGCGCTCCTTGGAACCAGGGTACTTGCTTTAAAAAAGGACGCCAACAAATGGGAAATTGTGCGGGGGAAAGGAGTTAGTATGATGAGGAGGTCAGAAACCAGCTCCTACGTGAACTGAAGAAACTGGGGACTTTTTACTGTGAAAGGTATCAATGTACGTAGAGCTGACACATTGAAGATGCACCCGACTTGCATCCTGTCCCTTGAAGGAGAGAACCAGAATTGGGCAGGAGTTACAAGGAGCTAGGTTTTAGTTCAGAGTTTCCCAACAGTGGAACGTTCCACTGCAGGGGAGGGAGGACGCAGCCCCTGGAGCTGTTCAACTAGAGGCTAGTTGACCTTATCTCCAGGAGAAGGGATTCTGGACTCAAGGACTTCTGACATTACTTTCAGAAGCACTATACACAGTGAATTCATCCATGATGCCTCTCCAATTGAGGACCTGCCTGCCAGGTCCTCAGTTAAGGAGCAGAAAGAAGTTGAAAATTAAGCAGACCGTAAAATAGACATTCCCTCTCATCCCTGGAAGACTTCAAGTAAGTGGTCCAGTAAAAAAAAGGATCATAACATGCCCCAGATTCTCATCCCATCTATACATGTCCGCAAGGCCAATTAGACCATACCTCTCTGACAGTAAAATGCTGCAATGGGACCTCCCCTCACTGAGCTTAGGCTCTCAGAGGGGTGTCCACTTATCACCTTTTAAGTAGATGGAAAATACAGGAAAAGAATTTTATTTTCTAAAGCCTAGGATGCGCTGGCTGGCACCAGACATTTTTCCAAGATAAAAGAAAATTCAACCTCTTGCCCCGCACTGGGGAAGTACAAAGGAACAAGTAAACTCTGAAAGTTCTAGGGATAGTTTAGCAGTACATCTCCCAGACCTTCATTCCTTACTGCCCACCACATCAGGAATATTTGTAGAGACCATGAACCTCTGTGGTCCTGCCAGAACAAACAAACAAAAACTCATGTTCTCTGTGTCCTCTTCTCTCTACTGTGGTCACCTCCACCATCTACACACCTAACAGCAATTTGACAAAGGACAGGGGTGGTGGAGAGAAAACAGGCAAGTCTCATTCCACCATGCATGCTTTCTGGATTTAAGTTTCCTGACTTACCAGTTAGGAAACAGTGTAACAGAAAGCAACTTTTGGAAGTCTGCCTGCTAGGGCCTGGTGACCAAGGTGACACAGGTAACTTGCCACTTCTTCCACTGATGTCAGGAACAGACCCAAATGGGTCTTGCTTAAAAAAAAAAAAAAGAAAAAAAATCCTTTTTCATTATTTTCTTACTATGTTCTCAACCAGGACAAGAATTCAATTCCAGACCCATTGAAACAGCAAAGTGCCCGAATGACCTTAAATGAAAGTAATGGAGGGATATTTCTATATGTCCGCATTCAGGGTCTCAGAACCATTCCAGAGAGTGTTTTCCTATTAAATACGCAGAGTCCATGGTGAGGCACAGAAGGATGTCTTGTGGAACGCTCAGGTTGCTATGATGGATGGTCAAGGTGCTCAGCCTGGGGCTGGGTGGGCTGTGTGAGGTGTTAGGCAAGCATCCACCCATGTCCCCGCCACTGTGAGCCGTCTGGGGCCATTGCTCGGTTCTTCTCTCTCCCAGACCTTGGCCTTCATTGCAGAGTTGTGCATTCTTGCCGCTTTCCATTGCGAACAGAGGCTGCCGTTCAGCCATTTTCCTCAACGCTGCATACAGTTTCTGCTGCCAGGATGAGTCACCCTGCAACACATACCCTCACCCCCTCCACTCTGGATTTCAAATACTCTAGGCCTGGCCGAACAGAACCCTGCTGTCCGTGAGCATGTGCGTGAACTTGGGATGGGCAGGCTCAGCCCTCCCGAGCCCTCTGCAGAGCAGACTGTGTTATGTTTGCCCAAGGGGTTCAGAGAGCCAATAGCCTGGGGGCGGTTCTATTTTTCAGGTCTGGATCTCCCTCACGCAGCCTGCCAAGCTGCAGCCTCTCTCTTACAGGCAGGTAAACCTCCATGTTAGCCTCCGTGATCTTGAGCAGAAGTAGCTGACAGCCTGGGGTTGATTGGTTCTGCCTCTTCTCCCAGCCCGGCTTCTGACTGGGTCATGTTGCTACAAACTAGACCGCCCTTTCCTGCTTTTATCTCTGGACCCCTATCTCTGCACCCTGGGTAGATTCTGCTTCAATGCGCATCTGGTTGTTTCCCCCGCTTGGACAGAGGTCCCTAACCTTCCTCCACTCCTCGCTGCTGCCATCCCTGCTCTCGGCTTCCCCTCTCTCCACACCCCCTCCCCCAGCACCGGTCTCAGGCAGAACAAGCCACAGTACTCCAGAACTATTCCACTTCCCTAGCCTGCACAGAAAAAGAGATTGAAAAATTGTTCTTTTCACCCTGACCGTTGAAACTGGGCTGAAGAATTCCTTCTTCCTTCTTTCTGCAGAGAAACACCAGACCTCCATAGGCACAGACTGAACGGCTTTCTGAGTTCCTTGTGGTCCACCCCTCCCCCCCGTCACACCCCAGCCACATGCTCCACCTGCCAGAAGCACCCCTCCCTCTGGAGACCCACACGTTCTCCGCTTTCAACCTGCTGCTACAGCACCCTGTGCTGAAGGGGCCTCAGAACACAAGCCCAGCCCAGCAAAGCCCAAAGGGACATGGTGTGCTCAAGTTATTCATTACTCAAGTTAGAGGAGGTCACAGAGCAGGAAGCACACTGGAAAGCAAGGTGAAAGGTGGCATGGAGGGTGGGGGATTAGTCAGGGTGACCTTCTAAGGGAATTCAGAGCCTGGCAGGAGGGCGTATCAGAGTGGGAAGGTCCTAGCAACAGCCCCAAGGTTAGACAAGGTCAAATGGAAACTGCTAATTATAATTAAGCTACCTACTTTATAGCCCTTGTTATGCACCAGGCACTGTGCTTAGTGCTTCCCACAACTACCATTTAATCCTTGCAACAATGTATCACTCCGATTTTACAACTGAGAGAATGGTCCTGCAGAGAACAAGTGACTTGCTCAAGGTCACACAGCTAGTGAGTACTGAAGCTGGGAGACCGAGTGCAGGTCTGTCTTGCCCTTCATCAGGTTGCTCTTTTTGGTGACACGGTTAGATGAGTGAAACAATTCTAGATGGTCTACAGTGGAAGGTGGAGTTTGAATCTGGTTCCCATAGAGATCATGCTCTCCAGGGGCAATACCAGGTTTGGGTGGAAACATGGAGGTTCTTTTAAGCCAAGGGGAGGTTGGTTTAGAATGAGATGCTATTGTGAAGGCATGACCCTCGAAGCTTGTCAGAACCCAGCAAGAGTTTACATGCAGGGGAGGGAGAATGAGCAAAGCTGGGGAGGTAAAATTTGAGGGGGGGGTGTGTGTATCCCCCAGAGGAAGATAGCAGGTCAAGGACAACAGGAAAAGGTCATCCTTGCCAGACACAGGATCAGACCAATTGGCATTTGCCATAGCTCTAGAGAGCTAGGGTAGGACACTGCTTTTTTAAGAAAAAAAGATTTTTTTAAAAAAAACCTGGCAATGCGAGCCTTTCTCTGCATACTTTGTTGTACTACCTACTTCTACTGGAAAAGAGAGAAGGGGAGGGGAGAGAAAGAGAGAGGGGGAGAGAGAGAGGGAGGGGAATATAGGTGTGGGGATGTGAAGGGTGGGAAAGGGGAGTATGCACAAAGGCGGGCTCCACACCCTCCCTCAAACCCCTCACCCCTTCCCATCCCACCTTTCCCTCCACTCATCCTTTTTTGCTGATTCCGCTCACAAGTTTTCCTCTGTCTTACACATAGGGGGCACTCAATATAACACATGCCCTTCCCAGTGACCTGTCCTGCTGGAAACTCCTCCATAAGGTAGCTTCTGTTGGGAGGGGACTAGGGGCATCATATCTGCAGGTGCAGCCTCTTCGTGCAGTTCTACCACCAACTTGGGGCTTTTCCAACATAAACACTACAGGGGCAAAGCAGGGGGTGGCTTCCTTTCTCAACACTGCAGTTCTCAAGGTTGCCCTTGACCCAGCCCTACATGTAGCAGCCCCTTGGGGGCTGGGTGGCTGCTTCTGCATTTCAGGAATTTTCAGGTTTGCCCAGGTCTGGTAGGTGGGCCTTGAGAAGGATTAGTGGGAAAGAGCTCATACTACATCAGTTCAAGGTTGTCCTTAGACCTGCCAGGTTCACCTTGGTGACAGAAAGGTGACCCCCGACAAGCATCCCCTGTATTGGCTTTCTGGATATGGGGAGGGGAAATCTCCTTTTCCAGGATGGGCTATGTTGCTCCCTGGGGATGAGACCTCTCTGCAGTGACTGAAGAGGCGCCCCTGCTGATTTCTGCTGTGTCACTCCCTTGAGAGGGACGTGTGAAGCTGTTCAGGTGTTTAGCAGAGGGAGATGAAACCAAGGAGTTTGGGTTTTCAGGCACAGGGGATAAAGGAGGGGAAGGGATAAAGGGTACCAAGGACTGCCCTGCACCTTCTCGCCATCTGAGCTGGGTTTCCCCGTGTCCTGTTTGGCCCCAGGCATTTTATAGAAGAACAAAGTGGTCGGTACTCCCGAAGGGGCATAAAACCACGTCCGTGATAATACCAGCCACCGATTCGGCGCCAAGGGGAGTCCTCGGTGGCTGGGTCACGTGCAGACATTGTCGCCCGGGTCTAGACTGGTGTGAGCCGCCAGGCAGTGCGACTGGTTTCCGAAGGAAAGACTCACTGGGGGCTGGCGGCTCGGCCTCCTACACCTCCCACCCCTTCCGAACCCCGGATCCGGGCTGCCGCCCTGGGTGGGTTTGGCAATCGTTCTGCTTGAGGTGGTTCAGGCCGCCCACAGGGAGCACAGCCCGGCAGTCACGAGCCGGGGCTGCCGGCTGGGCTGGCCTAGAAGGAGAGGGACGGGCCGGAACTGCAACCGCAGGGGCTGGGAGCGCGGAGGGGGCGGCAGGTGCAGGAGCGGAGAGGCGGGGCGGAGCTGGGCAGAGTCGCCGACTCTCAGGCGTCCCGGAGTGACCTTCCCCCACCCGGCCAGGGCCTGGAAGGGGTGGACCTGCGGCGGAAGGAGGCCGGGAGCGCACGAGAGGGACCGGATCAGGACAGCCGGGCCGGGGTCCCCGAGCGTCTGCCGGGCGCCGGGCGACGCAGGTGCCGGGCACCTCACTAAAGAAAGAGCGAGTATGCGCCCAGCCCGGAGCGAGGGAGGGGGGCTGCGTGTTGCTGCCGGGGTGCCGCTCGCCGTTCCCCCGGCCCCTCTCCGCGCCCCCGCTCTCCAGCCCGCCCCTCACGCCGCCGCTCCGGCTCCTTTGTGCCGGCCCCGCGCCCGCCCCTTCGAGCCCTAGGCCCCTCCCCTTCCGCGCCGGCGATTGGCCCGCCGGGCCGCTAGTGGGCGGGGCGCCCGGCCGCCTAGGCGCGGTATATAGTAAAGGTAGGGCATGCGCCCTTAGCCAATTTCTCGGCTCGTGGCTGGCCCCAGAGTCCTAGGCCCGCAGCCCGTTGGTCCGTCCTCTTGCCTCTGACTTTCTCCTGTCCCCTGCCTGTCTTTGCAGAGGTCACAGGAGGTGGGGGCCGAGCACGCGTCCCCGGCGGCAGCGGGAGCGGCAGCTGCGGGTTCGTGTAGCCCCCGAACCCCCCACGGGCAAGAGGAGCGCGTGGCGGACCAAAGAGCGCCCGCGAGCGGCCGTGAGCCCACCAATAGGTGCGGGGCTCGGAGCCGCCCAGCGTGCGCGGTCCCTCCCTCCTCTCTCCGCCCCCGCCCCCGCCGCCGCCTCCCCCTCCTGCCTCTGCTCCTCCACCGCGCGTCTGGCACTTTGAGAGCCGCAGCGGCAGCGGCGGGTGCATCCTGCGGAGAGCCAGGCCGGGGACGCCGACCGGCAGCCGGGGAGGACGCGAGGGCGCACGCCGCAGTCTCCCACCCTTAGTCCCCGCGGCAGCTGCTGACCCGCCACCATGGCCCGCGGAAAAGCCAAGGAGGAGGGCAGCTGGAAGAAATTCATCTGGAACTCGGAGAAGAAGGAGTTTTTGGGCAGAACCGGTGGCAGCTGGTGTAAGTACGGGGTCCGCAGCTCTGCTCCTAGCGCCTTGTCTTTCCTTGTAGGCGCATCCCCTGCGCAGGCTCTGCGGACCGCTCCGCACGCTGCGCGCTGGAGAGGACGGAGGGGGTCGGGTGCTGAGCGCTGCTCAGATTGCGCCGGCCTGGGCTTGTCATCCTGTGCGGAATGCGGAGTCCCCGGGCTAGACGCGGGGTGGGGATAGGAGCGCGCCAGGTAGAGGGTTATGTATATTTTAGCGGTCTTGGTAATTTGCAGTCTATCGGAGCGTCGCTTGAGCTCTTCCGTCCTGGGAATGGTCAGGCTGTGGGAGACTAGATATGCCTCTCCCTATAGACATGTTTCAAGTCCTTAAAAATGAGATCTGAGGCTCTGAGAGAACCGCATGAGGGTAATCGGATCGAATGCAGGCGAGGTTGTGTATTATAGCAGCTTTCTTCTAGTCTAAATATGTACCTCAAAAGGCGGGTGTGGGAGGGCGGCGGTGATGGTGGCAGAATCCATACACTGCAGTATTTCGTAGCGGTGCCCAGAGTTTCCCCCGATGACCTACCCTGGAGTCATCACAGCCCAGAAATGGCCCAGGAAGCTCCATGTCAGGACTTCGTTTCTGAGCCTTGGCCCCAAAACATGGCAAAGCCTGGTTGTTTTCAGTGTCTACAGAGAGATGCAGAATCAGTAGCTTGGGTTGATTACGGTGAAGGGTTACTGTAAGAAATAAATAGCACAAAGGCAGTAGCAGGTTATCTTATAAGATTTTGGGCAGCCTGTTGCTTGGGTGGATAGACTTTTTTTTTCCCCCCCCATTGAAAATTAAATACCTTACTTGTCTTCCACCTCTCTACACGGGAAGGGTGACATTTTTTTTTAAGGTCATTTTGAAGGGCAGAGTTGTAGGCAAATCTGTAACAGTCGTGACTGCTGGGGAGAGAGAGAGAGAGGGAGGGAACCCCCCTCCTGCATCACTGCCCCCTCCTTCTCTAATATCATCATCACCATCATCATCATCATAGACACCACTAGCACCACCACTGCAGCCACTAAGGGAGCCCTGGGTAGGTGCTGATGTGGTGCTCCTGATTGGAAGGATCTGTGAGCATCGGCAGGAGAATGAGTCAGGGAAATAATGCTTGGCTGACATTTTGAAACGGAAGAAGCTGGAATATACGATTTTTGTAGAGGAAAAAAAAAATGCAGCCTGTAGTGGGTCTCTTTGATTGAAAAGTAAAGGGTTAATAATGCATCACATTTCAAGGTTAGTCAAGGTGAAACCTCATCCCATACCTGTGCTGAGAAGCATAGATATCCCTGAGCCATGTTAAATGTAGGTCTTTAAAGGGATGGCTTTTAGCTTGTATTCTATATTTCGTTTTGGGAAGACTCTGTTCTTCAGTGGGATTACTGCCATAGTTTCTCACGCAGAAAGATAGCTCTCTGTGTTTTCTTAACGTGGAAGGAAAAGCCTGAAGAACTCTGGGTGTTTTGTAGGGTGAACAGCTCCTGGCCTGGGCCGTCTCCCAGCAACTCCTGGTAACTCGAGTGAGGCCTGAGGGGTGCACTGCAGAATGGGCCCTCTTCTCCCAGATTCACTGGAGGTTCCTACCACGATGATCTGACCCCAGCCTCGTCATGGGCCAGAGGCTGCATTGACCCCAGCCATATTGTAAAATTTGCCCTCTAGTGTTTTTCCCTCTCATAAAATGTCTTTCGTTCCTCATTCCATTTCCAGAATGATATTTGTTTTAGAGGGTAAGGCAGTATGAAACGACTTGTTTTGTAAGCTGACATTTTATAAGGCAGCACCTCCGCATGAGAGAGACTGTGTTGATATTTGTGTCTTCATACCACGTACAGCAAAGTGTTAAATACACTGATTAATGGATGCAGACATCAGGACTGGTGCTCTTGTCTCATCTTTCCTTCCATTTTCCAAGATGCTGGGTTAAAAAATCTGGTTTTTATTTTGCACTAATATGTTTACTCCTTTCTGGCAATGTAAGAAATGACAGAGCCCCTCACAGGCAGAGAGAGTGGCAGCAGCTGTGTCTCCTATGGAGAAAATGCCACCTTTCTAGTACTGGGCCCAACGTGGATGCCCTTGGGACCAGGGCAGGTTGCCCTTGGTTCAGTTCGCTTGTAGGTAGATTTTCACCAAGATGGACGCAGGAGCGTCGCCTGTCACCTGCTGGAGAAAGCGCAGCACACAAATCACCTGGTGCTTTCTACCTTTTTATTAAGTTAATACAGGCGTTGGTAGGTTTTTATGTCTACTGCTGGGCCCAGATGCCATTTTCCCTTCTGTCTGTGACCTTTTGAAGGGTACTCGTTCTTTGTTTGTTTGTTTCCTAACTGGAAAACCTGTATATTACTTGTATTTTTTAAAAGGAAGAAACATTGCTTCAAAGGAAAAAAACGTCTCTAAAGTTTACCCTCTGTGCCACCCTGGCTGGTTGGTACAGTATGCCCAGCTTTTCTTTCTGAGCCTGTGTGTCGGTGAGCCCCCACTGCATAGGCCCTGCCACACCTGTGTCATCCACTCTAACCAAGTGACCTCACAGCACCAACGGGGGAAACTGTGCCAGGTAACGTCTCCGAGCAAA